GGGATCAGACTGGGAATAATTTGGAATATCCAGGTGGGATCCCACCAGGACTCACAGGAACATCCAGATGGGACAGGGAACATCCAGGTGGGATCAGACTGGGACTCACAGGAACATCCAGGTGGGATGGGAAACATCTAGATGGGATGTGGAACACCCATGTGGGACAGGGAACATCCAGGTGGGATCCCACCAGGACTCACAGGAACATCCAGGTGGGATGGGGAACATCTAGATGGGATGTGGAACATCCAGGTGGGACAGGGAACATCCAGGTGGGATCCCACCAGGACTCACAGGAACATCCAGGTGGGATCCCACCAGGACTCACAGGAACATCCAGGTGGGATCAGAGTGGGAATCATGGAGAAGATCCAGGTGGGATGTGGAACATCCAGGTGGGATCCCACCAGGACTCACAGGAACATCCAGGTGGGACGGGGAACATCTAGATGGGATGTGGAACATGCAGGTGGGATCACAGTGGGACTCACAGGAACATCCAGGTGGGATCCCACCGGGACGTTCCCGTGGCGATCCCGGGTTTCGTCTCTGCCCAGCTGCTGGACGAGCCCCAGTTCCGCTGCATCACCAAGATCAAGACCATCGGCAGCACCTACATGGCCGCCTCCGGAGTGACGCCCGACGCCGGCGCCGACGGATTCGGAGCCAAGGTCAGGCCGGGACCGGGACCTGGGGACGCTGGGACCGGGCCCGTCCTGCTTGTCCCCGTCCTTGGCTCCCATCTCCGTGTCCCAGCTCCACGTCCCATCATCTCCATGTTCCATGTCCGTGTCCCATCTCCATGTCCCATCTCCACATCCCATCTCCGTGTCCCATCTCTGTGTCCCATCTCCGTGTCCCAGTTCCATGTCCCATCTCCATGTCCCATCTCCATGTCCCATGTTCCATCTCCGTGTCCCATCTCTGTGTTCCATCTCCATGTCCCATCTTCATCTCCACCTCCATGTCCCATGTCCCATCTCCATGTCCCATGTCCCATCTCCATCTCCGTGTCCCTTCTCCTATCTCCATCTCCATATCCCATCTCCATATCCCATCATCTCCACCTCCATGTCCCATCTCCATGTCCCATCTCCATGACCCATCTCCATCTCCACCTCCATGTCCCATGTCCCATCTCCATCTCCATCTCCCATCTCCATCTCCATATCCTATCTCCATGTCCCATCTCCATGACCCATCTCCATCTCCATGTCCCATCTCCATCTCCATCTCCCATCTCCATCTCCATATCCCTTCTCCATGTCCC